GGGGCGGGAGCGCGGGGGCGCTGGGGCGCGTGGCAGTGTACGCTTGGTACCTGGGGAACAGCTCTGATAAAAGTTGTAATCCAGTGCACAGCGAGAAACGTTTCAAATACATATTACAAACCCCCAGTTAACTTCGGTTTTTGACGGACTAGCACAATTCTGCAGCCTTTACTGGAAAAAAACCCAGACAACATGTCAGACTGCGCGGTAAAGGATGGTACGTCTGTCCAGTTCCTCTGTAGGCTTAACTCTGTTCTCTTTGTGCTCCAGAAGCCTGGGTGTGCTCACCGGCTCTCACACGCGGGCTCTGGCAGGAGGCTTGCTGCGGAGAGACGTAAAGGAACAGCTTCTTGCAACCCCCGGGGTCACGTCAGCAGTGCTCATCTCAGGTTGTTTTACTTCCTCTTAAATTTATGACTGCATTTCAGAAGTTCAGTACTGAGCTTGGTTATTTTAAAAATACAGGCTCAGATAATCTCTTCGGAATCTGTTAAAAATGTCGTATTTGTTACCTGTGCGTTTGTGTTTTATTTCTCACTTGAGTAAGCTTATACTGTCTTGTATGTGTTAGCAGAAATCCTCATCAGAGGTTCTTCAAACTATTGGTGAAGCCAAGCCCAGAAAATCTGGAGGCAGATTTTGTTTGTGATTCTGCCACTTAGTTTCTGCTGCAATTTGTGACATGGCAGTTGTCATACTACTTTTATAGCATGAAATCACACATTATTTGGACACATCATGAGTGTCTAGTTGTCTTCAGCGACCTTCCCATTTACTGATAGTGGTATCTGGCCATCACTGGGTTGAATAGGCTAATCTTACATTAAAATGAAATCGTAACAACTGCTGCTGGAAGGGAAGATACCAGGGAAAGTAAGAATTAACGCAAGGAGACAGAAGAACTGATTTTGGACTTAGGTATGCTACCCACTGTGGGCTTAGGTGGTAGAAGCAGAAGTACCAATGGAGAAGTCTTGGACAAATTTTCTTCTTTGCAGTTGCATTGTGATAACACCTAGGGATATGCCTCTCTGAAACGACCCTTTTTATGGCCGGTTTTCCTTTGTATACTCATATTGGAAGCATTCACGTCACTATATTTGCTTAAATGTCCAGCTGATTTTTAGGGCACTGATATGTAATGCTTGTTTAAATTTATCTCCAGCAAAATTACTAGGAAATCCCAAAGTTTTATTTTAAAGGTGGAAAAAAAATTAGGTTAACTTGTTTATTCATCATTACCCAGCAAGTTGCCTGAAGAACTAAAAGTAGTCTTCACGTGTTACTTTGCTTTGGCCTTGGACTGTACGCATGGCCAATGGAATGCAAAAGTAACCTGGAGGAGGAGGCAGTTCTTCTGCCAGCATTCTTTTAAACTATGTTACTATTGGTAATCCCTCTTCCGTGGACATGATCTCAAGGGTTTAGTTCTGGTTTATTATTGTGGAAACTCCCTGTACAGTACATTTCCTTATTACTCTAGACATGAATCAATGTGTACAGTAAGAAAAAAAAGGGCAAAAAAGTAAGGGAAAAAAGTCCATTCTAAAAAGGCTGAGAACTACTTCCATCGCATATTCTGGAACTGGTCACATCAGCCTTTTAAATGTCCTTGCATTGGGACGAATGCTGAAAATTGTGCAGATTGTGATTAAATGTTGCAAAAGTGATTAAATACTCAGAAAAAATTGTCATAAGGAGTTGAGTGTATTTCAAAGACACTTTGATCACTTAATTATATGATGTGCATACCTTCTGGGAGACAAAATACTACATACTAAAAGACTTCATCCCAGCTAGAAAATAACAAGATGATAGCAAGAATCAAGGCTGAGGACTTCAGCTAAATAAATATTGGTTAGAGAGGAGAGAGCTGGGGTTTCTTTTGTCTTTTTTGTTTTTTAAGTGAAAGTAATTAGATGTTGGAACAAATGACACTGAGAAACATGAGATTTTTCATTTCTAAATTAAGTCCGGGTGCCTCTCTGGAAGATATATGCTCCCGACAATGAGCTTGACTGTACCAAGGGTTATGAACTTATATAGCAGATCAGGACAGATTATATGATGACTCTCTATCGGGATAGATTATCTGATGATTCTTTCTTAACTGAAAATCCCCATAGCTCCTGACTAATCAAGATTACATTGCAAGTGAAATGCTAATAAAAGAAAAAATCAATCATATCTTAAGCTCTAGCTTCTGCAGAAAGATGAAAAAAGGACTGAAACGTAAATGGTCTAAGTCTTCATCCACTGCTAACAGGACTGGTGATTTATACCAGCTAAGAAGCTAGGCTTACGTGCAATGTGATTTATTAGATGCCATAGCTACTTGTAGCCCTCGGCAATATTCATTAGCTAATACGATCTACTCAAAGATGTGATTCATCTGGAGATATTCACTGGCAAATTGTAGATACAAGTTTAACTCTGTTTGCAGCAGCACAAAGAGCTGACAGACTTCCACACAAGGAGCTTTTTGCACAATATATTTGACTCTGATAAGGCAAGGGTATCTCAAAGGCTACAAGAAGGGAAGGACATGCCAGCACAAGTAATGGCAGCGGGGAGGGGGTGTGAGGAGGTTGGTAAGAAATCAGGATGAGAGAGAGACATGAAAACATAATGGAAGAAAAGAGAAGGAAATGAGGGCTGGGCAGTCTCCAGAGACTGGTGACATGAAAAGTGCCCATGACCTGTGGCAGGGCAGTACACAAGCTTCTAAGGAAACAAAGAATTACCAGGCTTAAAAAATTGGAAACTAGAACCTTGGTTTTCTTTCTGCTTTTGAAAGTTGAGCCTCACTAGTCTGGAAAAGAGAACAATTATGCATAATGTATTTATCCAAGATAAAATAAATCTACTGCAACACATAAAGAAGCTACTAGACAAGACAGTACCTGTAAGCATTATCCTCAGCCAGATGCAATCATAAACCAAAGTCAAAATAATATTAACAAGGAATTATCTTAACTTGAGAATTGTTAATAATTCAGAAGGCTAATAAAGCAACATGCCATTTCTAAGAATATTCATGAAGGTCTAGGAGTAAATCAAGAAAGATTTCTTGTGCAGTTACAATGTTTGGCTGACTGCCCAGACAGCAAAATAGTTCCTACAAGGGAGAAAGAGCTAGGAAAGAAATCCCAAGTTACAGAAAACATGATAGAGATGAAGCTAAAAAAAAAAGAGGTAAATAGACAGAAAAAAAACGTCTCTTTGCTGTCAGACCCAAGTGGCAGGTGCCACAGCTGAGAAAACCTCCACTCACTTTATCTGCTTTTTCCCCTGAAGAAATATATAGCATATTTAGACCCTGATAAGGTAGTAAATTTTCCCCCCCTTTCCTCTGGAGGAAAACTTAGGGTCTGGCCGCTTAGCAGCTGCTGTTGGATCTGACAAACACACTGGGTGATGTTTTTCTGACTGTAAAATACCTTCTTCTCCCTACAAGCAACAAAGCTGTGCTGTGCAGGGGGACACAGCGGGCACAGAAGAGGTGGTGGGAAGAAGCACTTTGCAGGTAGGGCTGGGATTGGGGGGCCCCAGAGGTCTCCCTGGGATGCGACCGTGCACGTGTGGCACAGACACGCACACCTCCACAGGCACAGCAGTGCCTTCCACTGCGTCCCAGCTTCCCATCCTCACCTGGGGACATACAGGGGTGGTGTCCCTGGTGGCAAAGGCTGTCTTCCTTGCACTCCTCCTTTTCACCATCCTGCTCATCCTCTATGGGATCCTCTGGTATGTTTGTAGCGTATCGTGGTTTAACCCCAGCCGGCAACATAGCCCCATGTGGCCACCCAAACACTTCCCCTGCAGTGTGATCGGGGAGAGAATCAGAAGAGTAAAAGTGAGAAAACCCCTGGGTTGAGATAAAGGCAGTTTAATAGCGAAAGCAAAAGCCACCCACGCAAGCAAAGCAATGCAAAGAA